TTTACGCCATTTTCTCCATAAGGTGCTTCTCCTTCCAGTCTCTGAATTAGTTAGATAAGTGCTCACATTCCATCAGGGATCACACTGAAAAAAAGGAGGAAATCATAGCGGTGTACTAGTTTGGCGATGTCTCTGGAAATGCATAAACACATTTTACAAACCCAATCAATCATGTTTGGTTAGGCCCTGACATCCCTGTTGGCAACTTCAAGTACTGTACGGGCACATGATGGCCATTTAAATTAAGTCAGGATGGCCAATTAGTAATCTTCCCAATGGAGTTGGATTCTGCATCAGTCATCATGCCTGACCGTTGGTTTTGTTGGCAAGGTCTGTTGGGAATTCAAGCACAAAATAGGCTACAAGTTTCTCATTCCTGAATTAAGTGAAAATTTTCATAAGGAGTTCTGAAAAGCGACCACAGGGCTTATCTGGATGGAACATCAGTTTCCTCTAAAACATTGGGTTCAATGTTGATGGTTTTGTTATTTTTCTGAGATCCGGCTGGTGGCAGGCTTTATCTCAGTGACAAAGTAAGAAAACAGTTTGGTTTATTTTGATTTATTTTGTTCTGTAGTTCCTGGAGTGGAGTTTAGTGCCATGACACTTCCTTTTTAAAGTTCATTTCTGCAGCTATGACCTTCTTGGTCAGAAGCTTTCAATTCGTTTTCAGGTTAGCAGAGGAAAGAACAAACAGAGAACTTCTAGAAGAGAAGCTGTAGTGGGAAATCAATTTATTGCATATTTCTTACATAAATGGATTCCTAGGATTTGTTGAACAGAAGTGTTTTCTGAAAAGTGGCTTTAAAGTTGGGACATGGCTCTCAATAGGCTCCAAAATCCTTTGAGAGGAACCAGCAGAAGGAGGTGGCAGAATTTTTGGTCTATTTGATAGATCCTGGAAAGAATTGAGCTTTTTAAAGAAATATTATCAAAGCAATGGAAAAAAGAGGCAAGTCGGTTGTCGATAAGCAAAATCCTAAAAATATGTTGCAAGCCAGTTCGATTAAAAAATACACACACACACACAAACATACATACCTATCCTTTAACAACAACAAAAAAGGGCTGTTCACAACATCACATTGTTACAGACTTTTGTCAATGCCTTAAGTTGATGCCCATTGCTACCAATGAACAAAGCAGGAGAATATTATTCATCTTGATCAATTAAACATCTTCATTTACAGTATAAGGTAACTCCAACAGTTGTGAGTGAAATACGAATCTCTCTGGGCTGTTTCACTCATTCATGCTTATTACTCTATACTTCATGGCTCAGAGGTAAATGTGGGAACAGATTCAATCAAAAAGCTGTACATTTGACTGGATGTGAGATTTCTGTTTAGGGTATTAATTCTATGTGGGCACATTGATGTGGGTGTCACCACCTGAATCTAACATGCAATTTCAGAGTGAAAAGAAGAAGACAAAGCTAGAAACCAGCTTTTACTGCAAGGCAAGAAAGTTTTGCATTCCTGCATGGCTTGTGCCTCTTAAAATGTCACTCAAACTTTTGTCATCAGCTAGAAAGAAAAATGTTTCTTTTTTTACTTTTGACTTTTGATTGACATACGTGGAGTGGGAAGATAGCTTAGACTAGTGAGAGAAAAACTGTGTACTGTGCTGGAGTGTGTGTGTGAGAGAAAGAGAGGGGTGGGTGGCAGGGGAGAGGGAAGGAGTAAAGGAGAGCCATAAGGCTCATGTATAAACCCTCTGGGGCTATGTGGCTTAATATGACCGACACTTCCTTATTTCTTGAGGTAAGTACTCTCTTTCCGTGAGTATGGCATAGGGGAATCCCAAATGTATACTTTAAATGACTCTTCGTAGTTTATATTAATAATATTTTTCTCCTTCTTTATTCCACCAATGAGCACCAACACATCTTGTGCTTTGCCCTTTGGTTCAAATACCTGAATACAAATTACATAGGTGCCACTCAATACATTTTTGCTTCAAATATTTAAATGTCTTAAGAAGACAGGCATCCACTGGGACATGTGAACATGTTGAATCAGGAGTTGGAACCATGATGTTTTGTTGATCATCTGAACTGCCTCCTTCTTGGAAGCTTCCAGGACTAATGATCCACCATTCAAATAGGTCTAGGCCCATACCTTTTAAATGTTTACCAGACTTAGAGTTGCCATATAAGTAACCATGCTGGTTCAGTTTTACCTGAAGACCAGGCATGCCACCTGGCATCCAATTAGCTGGTCTAAGCTTTCTTTTCTTTCTTTTTCTTTTCTTTTCTAAGGCAGTTGTTAGCTTTTATAGAACAGGAGGTATAAGACAAAGCATCAGTCAAAGGTCATTTTTTTTTCCTTCAGTTTTTCTTGTTTTCTCGGCTTGGCATGGCCCCCATTGGTCCCAAGGGTGAGGAACTGAACTCTGGACCCATGTGCTTGCACATGTTGATGTGCATGTATTTCTACTCTGTACATTGTGATTTCCTACTAACTCTCACTATGTGTGCCCAAATTTACTGCAAGATGAATGTCACTAAGTTCGGATTGATATTGCAAAGTATATGCATCAGTCATACTGTATGCAAAAACAAATTTGAGGGAAATCATGGTTGAGCAGTGAAGTATTCAAAAACATACAAAACCTGTGCTAATTATTTTCTACAGCTAAGACAAGACATTTCATTAATCATTTTCTTTCATGGTTTGGTAATAAAGTCTTAATTTTGTTTCACCCTTGCCTCAAAAGCTTACTAAACAAAATGTTGTAAATGAAGTCAAACATAACCAGTCAACTGCATGTAATAAAAGGCTTGGTGGCTGTTTATTAGGCAGACATAAGAGGATAGCATGTGCAGGAAAAGATTTAATAAAACCAATATTGCCAGATAACATGTAGTTCTTTCTAAATTATACATCGAGTCTATTCTTTCCCTTTTGAATAATCATGTCGATAAATGTGTTTATATCTTATTATCACCAATAATAGGCCAGTATTTTAACAATGCTTTTCCTCTGAGATAATTTTGCACCTGAAAAACTGATTTGAAAACTTGTCAGAAAATTGATGATGTTCGGGCATCAGGAAAAAAATCCCACATTATCAGGGCACAACCTGAGCCCAAAGAGGTAGAACATCCTAAGCAGAAGAAGCTATTTGATAATGCTGAGGCAGCAGATGTACATAGGGCAAAGCCAATGGTAGCCCTACTTAGAGAAATTAATGAGATTTCACTGTTATAATTAACACATGCCTCCTTGATTTCTATTTAATATGTTATGGAACTATATTAAGTAGCCAGGGAGGGGGGAGGAATTCTACATATTGTCATTGTTTTTTTTTTTAACAGACAGTACTGGTTAACGCTGGTGTTTTTGTAATGTACATACACTTAACAATACATATTGAATAGGTGGTGAACATATTAGAGCTTTTGCTGTTTAGTCATTAAGTCATGTCCAACTCTTCGTGACCCCATGGACCAGAGCATGCCAGGCCCTCCTGTCTTCCACTGCCTCCCGGAGTCAGGTCAAATTCATGTTTGTTGCTTCGATGACGCTGTCCAACCATCTCGTCCTCTGTCGTCCCCTTCTCCTCCTGACTTCACTCTTTCCCAACATCACTTTCCAGGGAGTCTTCTCATGAAATGGCCAAAGTATTGGAGCCTCAGCATCAGGATTTGTCCTTCCAGTGAGCACTCAGGGTTGATTTTCTTCAAAATGGATAGGTTTGTTCTCTTTGCAGTCCAGGGGACTCTCAAGAGTCTCCTCCAGCACCACAATTCAAAAGCATCAATTCTTCGTCGGTCAGC